TAATCATGCAGGGAACCGTATGTGGATTTGACCTGGCCCTTGCCTTCTCTCCTTCCATTCATCTATAGGCCGTGGAAATATTCTGCAGACCCTCTTTCCCCCCATGTTTCTGTTGATGCTTCCGGTTTGTTATTCCCCCTTCTCGATAACATGGCACTGTTTCAATCCGGAACTTCCCGCGGAGGGATGCTGGGTACGCACAGCGTTTGGAACTCGGTTTGCTCCTAACCGGCTTTCATGCCGAGGAAACGAGGATTAACGTTGGAATAGTTCCATAAATCTCTAAGTGCTATCCTTGCTGATTGGTGTCAGGCAGTTTCCATGTGTATCGATGCAGAATTTCATGCTGATGGGATTCTACGGCATTTGATGTAAAAATTTCGTAAGAAGCAACCGGATGTAGGGTGATAGCCGTTATCATATATGTCTCAGTTGCCCGAAGTAGGGCAAAGAAAAATTAGGCAGCTTGATTGACAATTGTTTACAGATCAAAGTGATATTTGCGAAGGGGAAATGAACACTCAGCCTCATTTTTTGGTGCTGGGTCAAAACAAAGGCAGCCCGCGGAAAGTGGGGATATCCTTGATATTTCTCCTGAGTTGAAAGCAAAATTACAGTTCTCTCTTAGCCACCGCATTAGACAAGAAACAGAGGTGACTACTTCTAAGTTCTCTTTCTCATCGGCAAGGTCAAATAAATAGGCCTACTTATCAGTTTTCTCTGACATCAGTGTGAACATGGACGAATCGTCTCTGTTTACCTGTATCTTTTCAAAAAAGAAAAAAAAAGGATGGGTCTTTTAGGGTAGATTCCAGTTTTACCATTATCTAGATAGGCTATGGTGAACTAGCCTTGTTCGGCTTCAGACAGCCTTTGTAATCTTCATTCATCCATCGACAACACCTATGACGGTTGCTTCTAGTGGCTTTACCAGATTTGTTACGTTTCGCTCCAATGCTCCCATCTTGAAATGAGGGAAAGGATGACGACAGTGGTGTAAGTAGTATGAGTTTCCTTTTTTTTAATCCCTCCGTGGAGGGAAGCATCCAAGAGAGTGCAGGAAGTTGAAGGCGCCGAACTGGAATCCTATTGGGCTTTTCCTCTTGGCCTGTCATCCAAGTGTGAAATGATGAGTCTCGAGGACAAACATGGCAGCGTCATTAGAAGAGGTGTATTTTAATGGTTGTTAATGATGGAGAGGAATTTTCATTCACTCGTGGAGCCCAGGCTTGGCTTTTCGCACGTCAAGGGCATGTATGCATGAAGGGCAAAGTGCGTGATTATCTTCCTTTCTTTTTCCCTACACCCAGTGGAGACCCTCTTTGATCAGGTGTTGTCATCAAAATGCTCCCTACACGGCTGCAACTTCCGCACAAACATCTGATTAATATACGCTTGGTTTCCAGACCTACGTGAAAGCGGGTGTGCGTTATTAATTATACGTTTCATGCCCTCATTATGTCATTAAAAAGTCATTATGTTCGAATTATATACACCCGAATTCGCGAGCACGGTAATTTTTGGTGCGCCGAAGTTGAATTGCGTTACGATTGAGTCCGTCTGTGGTGTGTCTTTGTTTGCGAATTAATTGTTTGTTCGGGTTGTGCCGTGGTTTCTTCCCTGGCCTATCCTTTTAATTAGTAGCCTAGTACAGGTGTGGTTTTTTCCCTCGACGTCTGGTGAACTTGAGACGAAGTCCGGGCAGGGTAATTATATGTAATTATTCTTATCCTCGGCAATACAGTAATTTGCTCTTCTATAGCTGTGCTTCATCCCTTAAGCTCCCCTACGGTTTTTTTCTTTCTTTCTTTTTCATTCGCCTCCACCACATATCCGTGGTGTGAAGAAAGCGACCTGATGTTCTCAGACCAAACCGCACATAGAACAAGCTGAGCCTAAGCTGCTCGCTAGATATTCCACAGATAGAGTCTCTTGTCCGAGCGATTCCCATTGATAACCAATCGGACGAATTGACAGGTTGCCATTGTTCTCAAGGATATGGCGCCGTCTTGACCTGCCTCCGATTGTGTGAAAATGAGTCCCCCTCATTTGAATTATGTCCAAGGCGAAACTAATCGAGCTCCAACTGTCATACATGATAAGTTCCCTTCGATTGGTTTCGCCTAAACGCTCGGCAACATCGGTTAATTGAGAAGCGATTACACTTTCACTGCCATAAAAGTGTAATTCAGTGTACGGCAATCATCATCCTCTCTGCCCTAGGACCTAGAGACCGTCCTCGACGGATCCGGGACTGGGGATATGCGAGAGGGAGGGAAAGAGATAGATGAGATGAGATAGACGGACGTGTTCAATGGATCTATCCCCTTTGGCGTGAATTGGACGGATGTCAGCATGAAGCCAGGTTGTAACTGTCAGTTCTCGCCTGTGCCGGAAACTCACTCCCACTTGACCCAGGGTGCACTTCGTCCCAGGTGGTCGAAGCCGTGCATTCGCGTTTGCATTTCCTTATCCCCTCTCATCTTTTTCTCCATGAATATTCCTCATCTCATCTCAATCCCATCCCACCCTTCTCCCCTCAAACTGCTCTACCGCGGAAAATCAGGAATTCTTTTCTTGTTTTGGCCCCCCCCCCCCCCCCCCCACCCCCCCCCCCCCCCCCTCCCCCTCTACCGCGGAAAATAAGGAATTTTTTTTTTTTTTTGCCCCCCCCCCCCCCCCCAAATTTCACGTTGGCATTGCAGACCATAAAGGAATTTTGAGTCCGTATGTGAGGTGTGACTATGTTTATATATGAAATAATTAAGGCTTGGGTGAAGTAAAAAGCAGCCCTCCCATCGCCTTTGATGCCAAGGAGAAGTGGATGTGGAAGAGCATGATGGGACATGGAAGTGTCCCGAGCGTCTATTCTTTTTTCCCTCCTTTTCAACCTCCCAGCGTGTCCTTGTTTTCCGGCTATCAATATGATGGCATTGGACTTGGTGGACTCGATGCATTCAGCATTGTGTTCGTATCGACTGCACTAGCTCCCGGCCGGGCTTGGTTTGCTTTAGCTAGCTCTGTCTCTCCTGTGTCTTTCATTCACGGCGAGTGTCACTGTCCTGGCATCGACGGCCGGGCTTATGCATCAACGTTTCGGAAAAAAAAAAATCCCTTTTTTCATATTGAAAGAGGTCCATGCCGTGAAAGAAGGAAAGCGAAGGAGGGAGAGGGAAAAAAAAAAAGCATTTCTGAGTGGCATTGTGTCTCGATCTCATTAGTGGATCCTTTTGTCTGCGAATGTCCATCCTATCCCGCCCAATCCCTGATCTCTCTTCTTGCATGGACAGATGAAAATGGCATGGCGCGTCTCTCTCTCTCTCTCTTTCCCTCTCCCGCGATTATAACTTCATAAAAATCGATGCCGTTGTCCTGTTTTCTCTCCCCTCCGTCCCCCTTCTCTTTCTCTCGCTCTCTCCTCCGTCTTTCTCTCCCGATGTAGCTAGAAGCGCAGCAAGGAGTATTGGCAATTAATTCTATTGACATTAGGGCGCATGCCATTTCCTCATTAACGGGAAGGAAGCGTTATCGTGCATGAGATACGGCGAGACGATGCAGCCTGCCGAAAAGCCGACCCTGATGACTCAGACCAAGGCCTTGCTGTATCCTTCAGCCTTTCAAATACCCACATCACCTAGATTTAGGAATAGGAATGTGTCCCCTTGGTGAAGAAGGGATTTGGTGGAGGCGGCAAGCCGACTTCTGAGACAAGAGACATGGGTTTTAGGACCATTCCAAGAGGGGGGCTGTGCATCAGGGTTCAGGGGGGTGGGTGGTTCATTCTTCAGGGTCTCAGCTGCTGATCAAAGACTCCCTGCCCGTTTTTGTCTAGCATTAATCTCATTAGATTTCCCACATTCTCTCCCATCTATCCATCATTCTTGGGGGCGGCGGCTTCTGAATGGATGCCTGGGCTACCTACCTTCTTCCACCTGCCCCTTTTGTATAGCCACCCCTGTTTGTGTCGCTACTTGAATACCCGTCTCCATTCACATGGATCCCTGGCCATATTTTCATCCGGATATTTCACCATGAACAAAGCAACCAAATCGTTTCGCTGGTCTGTCCTCTTAGTAAGTGGCCGTAAATTTACATTTCTGAAATGCCAGATTCACCCTGTGCTTCTCATAAATAAGGCTTTGCGAGGACGGGTTCCTAACGACGTGGAACCCGAGTGGCAAAAAGTGAGATCCAGCGAAGAAAATCTTTCCTTTCCTCTCCTCCCTTTTTTTTTTTACCATGGGATATCCCTGACCTTCGAGATCATGCGAAGCGACCATTGCGTACATGGATCCTCATTTATGAGGGTCCCACTGCGTTTTGGTTAATGCGTAATGATCATTGTAAGAGCAAGGGAACTACTGGATTATGGATCGTATAGGCTGAAGCGGACGAGGTTTTGAAAAGATCGTATTTTGCCCCCCTCCCTCCCTCCCCTCATCCCCATGTTAAAAAAAAAGGAGCCGGGGCTCGCCTAGTCGCCTGTCCGTCCATTCCGTCCATGCTCGCCTTCTCTTCCTCTCTTCCTCTGCATCGATTTTTATGGAGATGCTGCTGTAATTACTTACCCAATTTTTCCCCGGCAGCTCGCTACGAGCCCCTCATTGTCGCGATTCCCTATTCCGCTTAATTGCTGCCGCGCCAATTACGCATGCGCCATGTCGCAAACTTGCGTGTTTCTCGCTGATTGCTTCGCTTTTTCATCAATTGTGTCTCCTCTCAAGTGCCGTGCCTATGCCCTGGGTCTATTGTCGTTAGTATAACAGTCCACGTGGAATGAGGGGTTTTATCTGGGCTTCAAGGCGATATCCGATTCCCCTTCCCCTTGGATATGACCAGTGTCTACCAAGAGACGTCATATTATTATTATCACTGCCGCGATGCAGCAACACTCTGAGTAGCACCAGTGCCCTGTGATAATGAATTTGCATTCTCTTTGTGTTCACAGTTGCCGGTGTGGAAGCAGCCGTGGGAAAACATGTGATGGTCCGTGTTGGTCCATGGAGCCCGAGCCCGTCGCCATGTCCCTGGCTCCTGGTGGCGACTTCCCTGCAACATCAGTGGCGACTGCGACATCAGTAAAGGTCCCAACAACGAGGACAACAGGAGTTGATCAACAACATCAACTACAAAAGGGACAACTACAGGAGCAACGAAACGGTCGTTTGGATGAGCCAGGGATGAGTCCCGAGCAGAGTTCTTCCCCTCCTGTGGACATGGTGCAGGCATCCTCTCCGCCCGATCCCACTTTCACTTCCACTTCCCCTCGACACAATCCTGTCAGTGAGGATGTGGAGAAGTTTGACGGCAAGATCGTATATAACCCCGATGGGTCTGCATATATCATCGACGATCCTGGCGAACTCAGCGAAGAGGATGCTTCAAGTGGCCTTGACTTGCCGAAACAAGAGGGTTCGATTGTCGATGCTGGCAGGGAAGAATTGTCGGCCAAAATCCTCCCACCTCTTGCTTCGGCATTCTATGTCTCGCGAAATCCGGCCCTTTACCAAGCTCTTTATTCCCAGGGATACCCCAGCCTCATGCCCGACAAGAAAGTTCCTGATGTTCCTGTGGTACATAGTTACAGAGTGTATACTGTTCGTAGTCAGACCTCGCAGAAGTCTCGCGATGGCGAGAAAACTGAGAACGGGAAAGACAAATTCAAAGTTCCTCCCACAGACTTTTCTTCTGTGCCGATCAAGCCCATTTTGATGTGTTTTATGTGTAGGTTGTCCTTTGGTTACGTGAAATCTTTCGTCACTCACGCGATGAGTGATCATGGCATGGTTTTGAACGATGAGGAAAAGGAGATCATGAGCCAGAGGAACACTTCAGCTGTGATTCAACAAGTTGGGAAGGAGAAAGAGCCCTTGATCTCCTTTTTAGAACCCGTTTACCCAGCCCCTCGACACGAAGAGGGTCACGGGAGAGGGCATCGCCCATCTCCACCCGATGATGGAGCAGCCTCGTTGAACTCTTCAGTCCCATTTTGGAAGAATCCGACAAGGACATCTCCATCTCGTGGGAGCCACGAGGTCCAGGTATCTAGTCCCGTCTCAAGTGCTGGCTTGGCAAGTGAGACGTCACCTGGTCGGGAGTCGGTGAGTTCGCGCACGCCAGAAACTCGACCAGCAGCGAGTCCCTGCAGCAAGAGCTCGACATCCCCTTCGCCAGCACGCTTATACCAGGCTTCCGAAGCCTGCGACACCTCCCTGGCAGATCCTGGGACCTTGAAGCGTCCTCCTTCCGTGTCTCCTGGCCACCTGAAACAAGGAACGCCGGTTCATACTACGTCCGCGCATTCACCAAGCGGGGTCCCTTCTGGCAATCCTTCTCCCTCCGGTATGAGCATCGGTGCCTGCCCCGAACACATTAATGGAAAACCGAATGGTCTCGAATGTGCGAATTGTGATCTCATCATGAATTCCTCGCAACTGGGATGTCACATTGGCCTCATGCAATCTAGAAACTCTTGTAAGACCCTCAAGTGTCCCAAGTGCAACTGGCACTATAAGTACCAGGAAACACTAGAGATCCACATGAAGGAGAAACATCCAGAGAATGAGACGACCTGTATTTACTGCATCACCAACCAACCTCATCCGAGGCTATCCCGAGGCGAGTCCTACACTTGTGGATACAAGCCTTATCGTTGCGAGGTGTGCAATTACTCCACGACCACAAAGGGGAATTTGAGCATCCACATGCAGTCGGATAAACACCTGAACAACATGCAGGAACTGCAGAACGGTGGATCCCAACTTCCTGCGCAAGTCCCAGAAAGCAATCAGTTACCACCTCAGCTTCCTCCTTTGCCCCCGAGCCCTCACGCTCCTGGCGTTCAAAAGGTGAAACAGAAGCCGACTTGGAGATGCGATGTCTGTAATTACGAGACAAACGTTGCACGGAATCTCCGCATCCACATGACAAGCGAGAAGCACACTCACAACATGATGGTGTTGCAGCAGAACGTAAAGCACATGCAGCAGCTGAGTGCCCTGCATGCCCAGGCCAATTCGGGGCAGCTGGATGCGTCATCCTTGATGCAGATCATGGCTATGTCCGGCGAAAAATCTACATCAGAGGCCACCTTAGCTGACATGGCGTACAGTCAAGCCGTTCTCTTGCAGCTGATGACGGGTGGTTCCCTTGCTAGTCATGGAATGGATCCAGAGATGTCAACTCCGGTGCCTCCCGAAGCCCTGGAGCAGGGCGATCCCGTGGAACCGAATCCATCTGGCATGTTCCAATGCTGCGTCTGTGCCATATTCTCCACTGATAACTTGGAAGCTTTGAATCAGCACTTGTCGGCCGACCGGAGTCGACTCCCAGAGCCCGATGTCCTCGTACTCGTTGCTGGCAATTACATCTGTAAGCTGTGCAGCTACAAAACCAACTTGAAAGCAAATTTCCAACTGCACTGCAAGACGGATAAGCACCTGCAAAAGCTTCAGCACATGAGTCACGTTCGAGAAGGAGGCCCGAAAAACGATTGGAGGTTGAAATATTTGAACCTGACTCAACCGGTCCAGGTGCGGTGCAATGCTTGCGACTTCTACACAAACAGTACTCACAAACTTGGACTTCATAGCCAGTCCCAAGCTCACGATGTTGGTGCTATGCTCTGGTGGCATTTGCGGAGATGTGAAGACGGCGTGAGGGGAGAAGGCCGCCTGTACTCCTGCGGATTGTGTGCTTTCACGACAACCGTGAAAATGCAGATGGTGAAGCACGTGCGGTCTGTGAAACACATACAAGCTGAACAGTTACTCCAGCTGAAACGTCGCCAAGAGGGCCACGACACCGTAGCAGAAATGGCAGATATATTCTTCGTGACCAGTCTGGGAGATATCGAAGAACACGCTTCAGGTGAGTAGAAGCGAATTTGCGTTATCCTACATCCGTTGTTCCGGTTTTCGGATGAGATTTGTGTAAGTCGTGTGAGCTAGTCCAGTCGTCATGGACGAATAAATGGCTGATTGCCATACCATGTAATCATGCGTTAGAAAGGAAGGTAGGAACACCAAATAAACATCTTGAGGATAATGGCAGGGGAGTTTCCAACTTTCACACCTCGGCAGCCAAGCAGCTGCGTTCTTTTTCTTGATGTCTTCTGTGTTGAACTTAATGTTGCAGAATTATTTGAGACACACCCCTGAAAATGTTCTTCAATTCATCTGACTGCTCATTGAAAACCTTTGACATTCTTTGAAATCTTCGACATGATGGGACATGCTGCCCTTATTCCTACTGACACGTTTGGGACGGGGAACCTGGCGATCTAAGAATAACTTTTCCTGGATTACTATCCCACTTGTCACAATTCAATAAGAAATTTTTGCTCTAGATTGACCAGGATAATATTATTCAGCCTTTAATGGAATCAGTGCTTGATAGAAAATCACTAAAGGCACGCTGCCTCACAGAGAAAAATCCCGTCAGTGCATGTACTGGTAGATGAAACCTTCAGTTTTTGCTTTAGGTTGGATTGTGTGTCATGAAATTTTAGTGCCTTTTTTAGTTCCACATCAGTACTTGAGACTCCCAAAGGCTTACCACCAAAGAAAGGAGTCCAACAGTAATTTATGTCTCTCCAGTCGTTGTGCTCTGGGTCGGTCTATGTTTTGGATATTAAGTACTTTCAGTGTTTTCACAGTTCAGTGCTTAAACCCCCCAGAAGGCACACAGAAGATCCTTAATCGAGTACTTCCAAATCTCCAGAAGTACTGTGCTGGAAGAGTTTCAATGCAATGGAAGACCATGGCGGAAAAAGAGAGTATGGCAATTTTGGTGTCAAATTTTTTGGGGCAAACGTGAAGAGTAAGATAGGGGGAAGTTACGAGGGTAAAAAGTTATACAGGACCGGAAAAGGTCATTCAGTACCATGAGTCTTTCTATAAGGCACTATCGTATCTTAGAGATAACTCATCGCCTGTTTACTAACGTCCCGACAAAAAGTTATGACAATTTTTGAAATGCGCCGAAAAGTGAAGGAATTGTCTTACCGGCTGGCCATAGCGGGTATCAGATCCATTTTCGGCGGTGTACTGGGTTAGGACTACCTTCATGGATGAGAGGCTTTCTTTCGTTGCTTCCAGGTTGGGGCTTGTTCAAACTATCAATCAACCACCATCCTGAAGAAGAAGTTATTTCGGATAGAGACTAGTACCTACAGAGATAGGAATATAGGAATTACCTTGAAGTTCTCTAGGGAATTTTATCGCTTTTCGCCACCCGTCACTCCGTGGCATCAAGATTAGCCCCACCAAGCGGAATTTTCTGCAGTAGAAGTCAATGATGATTTTAAAAAAAGAATTTCCGCGTCTCTCTTTTAAGGTCTGCTAGCCGAAGGATCTGTAAAAGCATCAGGCAGCGTCTCATCTGAGTTAGAACTACGGACACGAAATCGATCTCCGTCGGAGTTAATTGATTCAATTAATGTTCCTTTTATCTACGGCGTAATAGTGTCATTTTGACCGGTGCTACTCAGAAGATGAGAGAAAGAGGAAGAGGAAGAGGAGTAAGCGGATATTTCGTAATGATGAAATTGTGAACAAGAGGAAATACGATGGAGCGGGCTTTCTACTGATAAGGCACAGTGATCGGTGTTTTGCGTCCCATACGGTGTAATGATGTCGCTGTCGTGCTGTGGGAAGAGACCGATATGGAATTAACAAACATTCGGTTGGTTATCAGCGCCGAATCCCCGTCTCTTATCAGCCCTCCACGTTGCCTCGTCCGCGGATATGCCACAGGAATTAATAGAGAGGGAGAGATCCTGCATACGAGCGACGTTGACAGGATGAAGAAATAGTTGGTGGTGCTTTTGAACGGAATCGCCCACTTTCTTCACCTTTGACCCTAGTGTTGATTTTTTAAATATTCCCGGTCATCTAGTACTCGGCTCTCCTCGTTCCGTCGATGTAAGTTGTAACGATGATTCAGGTTACCCTGCGGTAGGTTGCATTGCATAGAATCAGGGCAAGATCCAGGATCGAAATGCTTCGGATGCCTAGTATTTTCATCCTGAACGGATTGCTCCGAAGCATTGTTTTTGGTTCCTGCTCAACGTTGATATTCGCGAAGGTGATTATTCATTCTGGTTGACTTTGATGCTTCCGTTCTGTTTTTTTTTTCTTCGTCCTTATCAGTCATACGTTTGCTTTATTGTTTCTTCTTTGTTCCATCAACCCGTCCAAGTTTGAGGAACGGAAGCTTGGGAGACGCCAATGGGACGTTGTGGTACAGGTTTTCCACGATGGATTTAAGAAATAGTATCTCTTCCGTGCGTTTGTACCAGAATATGGCTTGGTATCTAAGTCCCAGATGCTTTTCTGTTGCTTTTTTTCTGTTTCTTATTCATTTATTATCGTCTGGCTTATTCATAAATTGAATGAGGGGAAGGGGGGAGGGGTCACCTCACTGTATTTCCTGGATACAATCACAACACGAGCATTAGCCTGATTCTGAGTCTTGTATTGCATTTGCAATACGATGAAGGAATAAGGCTCGACAGGGAAATCCGGCTCATTGAGAGCCTGTATTAATTTATTAAATGCACCAGTGCCGACCTTGAGAATGAAAGCTAACGAAAATAGGAATGATAGGGAGGAAAGGGTGTCACTCACGTTCGGCATGCGGCATGACCAACGTGAGCGTGCGATTAATCTCATGCTCATTCTTATTTCACAAGTTCTTATTTAGACAAACGTTTTCTATCGGCGAGCAAGTGGTATATATACTGTTCTCTAGGGGACACTTTTAATTTTAAAACTTATATGAAATACGTTGAAGTTTCAGCTTCTCTGCGTTCCGGTTCGAGTTTCAGTAAGTTCCAAGGGGGGGGGGGGCGATGTGCGGATAGAGAAACGTCACAATACCCCTATTGATGGTAGGAACGCGAGCACTTGAATTTTATCCCGATTTCTATGCGTAGGATAGATATTACACAACTGCAGCATGGGACTTCCATTGTGACAGTGATCGCACATGCGCAGAACTTCCCAGTATCGCACAGATGGGATTCCCTTTCCCTTACCGCTGCCTTTGAGGTTCCGGTGGCATATATTCTAAGGATGTTATATAATGTCCCATCTTTATTGCTCGAAGTTATATGGATCACGGATAGTCGTTTTGAGAAAGCTATTTCTTGGCCAATGTGCAACAGAGGAACACCTGATACGTGCGATGCAGGGAAACGTTTTCCCCTCCACTTTTCCCATCCCTTCATGTTCTTGCGGTTTCGAGAGTAGAGGCAACGCGGTTCCTTTTCGCATCACTCCGAGGGACACCGAAATGGGTCAACTCCGAGTCTTATAGTTGAGGAACGCAACAGCAGGCGAAAACAACACGGGAAGGATTCCCACGTCGTACTCTGATGGGTACTGTATGAGAAAGGCGCTCTAATTATAGGAGAGGACATGACATATAGAATTTTGCACGCCACTGCACGGAGCACAACGATTCATCATCATATGAAAGTCTTCGAAATGAAATTATCGGTTATTATGGGCATAGTACACCTCGTCGCGCTTGTAATTCACGCAAATAATTTCTGGGGTGGGCATCCGTAAGCATGGACTGCAAAGAGTTTTTCAAGAGGACTGCTCCCTCTAACTTCTCCTATTTACATTCATCCTCTCCGGGAAACGTACCTACCACTTTCTTCTCAACATGATTATCAAGTACATGACACACGTTATGTATGCACCGTGCAATGTGTAGGCAGAGCTTATCATTTTATCGTGTGATGGTTCGTGCTGAGGTTTCCTCTTCACACCCGAGTCTTGCCATGAATGATACGAACGAATGAAATATGTCGACTAGCAAACACAGCACCAGTTAGGGCATCAAAAATTGTGAAGTGGCAGAGCTCGTAGTCGTGTTCAGAATGGTAACTTCGCCAACTATTTTTCTTCGTTTTCCTCGGCGAACGTGGGAATGATGACGCTGTGAAAGGTACCAGAGGAGAAGGAACCTCATCAACGGGTGGAAATCCCCATCATCCGTCTCAGGCAGATACGAAACATTACGGGAATGTTTTTATTTTTATTTTTTCAAATCTCGTTTTCCGCGGAATACGATGGAAATGTAAGTCATCTAATAAGATTTGTCATGAAGACATGGTAAGGCCACAAACAGGATTAAAGTGGTATTTAGCAAGTCGAATGGGGTCTAGATCGGAGATCCAAGGTTCTTTCTTTTTCTCTCCGCCTGAGAAGCGATCATAACAATGCAAAGCGGACTATCCAGCAATTACATGTGGCTTTCACAAGCCCTTCCCCTCGAGGGTGCTAGCCGCAGTCGTGTTAGGATGTCCTTTGATTTTCCTGTAGAGTTCCCCAGTCCGACTGTAATTATTCGCAATTCAAGGTCATTGAGATCTCTCGCCTGTCTCTCCGCGTTCCGACTTTCTTTCTTCTCGCTCCTTGGTCTCTCCCTTTTTTTTTTTCTCTTTTAACGCACGTGGAGGATCCTTGAGCCGCAAGCTAAGAGAATGGGATTGCAGCTCTATCAAATAACTATCCCCCAATCCCGGCTGATGATGGCCTTTCGTTGACTGTGATTCATTAGGGCATGATCGGTCGACATGGGCACACAGCGACAAAAGCAAGACCGGTTTTCTCCGACAGAGGAAACCCGATTATGCTGACTCCGTCCAAATGGGATATTCATTATGGAGTGTGTGGGACAGGAAGCCTGACGCTCGTCGGAAAATGTATGCATGTGCTTGTCCCGAATCCTGAATGCAAGCCGGTACTATTTTTAGCTTTATTTCCTTGGCAAAGCTTCCTCCTTGATAATGAAGAGGTCGATTTCCCCTTCTGCCTGTTTCTCGCTCTCATGTCGAGAAATGGGAGAGGCTAGGAGGAAAAAGTGCTATGTGTTGCACGTTCCTTCAGTGCCTGGATGCCAATGTCCATCCGTATTTCCCTGATGACAAGCGAGTGTCGATTGACCCATCTACTTAAAAAGAGGTCACCATAGCACCTAGACTTTTTTTTACCATATTTTTTTTTCTATTTCTTTCTTTTAATGGCGTGCCCTTGCGAGAGTGATGATTGCCTAGTTCCGTTTGATTGCTTGCTCGGTCCTTGCGTGCTCGTGATGTTAACCCAATGGCAGCCACTTCTTTCCTTGCTTCGTTAATTCCTTATTTCCCTGCATGTCCTGGCTTACGGGTAACAACCATGAACATGAAACAGAACCTATCATAATAGTGCGTGGAGCATATCATTATCCTTGTACCTTAGACTCGGTCTGTTTCTCCTTCCACCCCCTCTCTCCCTCTTTGTGTTCGTTTCTTTATTCCCTTTCCACACCCGATCCTTTCATCCCTTTATTCCCTGACGCACCTCATTATGGAGGTCAAGGACCAGCTGATCCGAATGAAGAGACAAGGGGAAAAAATGCCCATTTTACAACTGCATAATAATTACCCGTGATTGCAGCGAAACCCTGAACGGACGTGGCTGCGGAAAGGCTGGAACACCCTGCCATTAACCTGTTTTCGCTTGCCCAAGCGATAGGGGGTGTAGACAACTCTATATCGCATATTATAGAACAAGCGGAAATCCTTGCCGTGCGCTCTTTTTCTCATGCCATGAGTGATGCCCCACTCTGAATGTGAGGAAAATAAACATAGCCTAGGTAGATAGGAAAAGAAAAATCTTGCGTTGTGGACGGAGGTCTTAACGAAAATGTCCTGCATAGTTACGAACCATCTTGGCCCCGTTTTTTTTAATTCAGTGGTGGTGTCTTCTTCCCTTTGCAGATAAGAGAGAAGGGAAATCCTCAGACCTGGACCAGGATGGAGAAGATAGCAGCCGGCTGAAGTCCGCTCTCGAAAAGGAGAACAAGGGAAGTATTGCTTGTCCATTGTGTCAAGAAGCAGCATCAGACAGGGCTGGCCTCGAGAAGCATCTCATGCAGATCCATAACGTTAATTTCGACGGCATGCAGCGACTCTTAGCCATGGTGGGTCAATCGCATTGGTTATCTGGCCAAAAGGGCTCGTTTGAGGATGTGGTTATGAAAGATGATCAAGAAACCTCGGACTCTGAGCTTCCTGACGAACTCAAATGTCAAACTTGTCATACTACCTATCGTACAGTTGAGGAATTGGCTAGTCATCAAACAGCTGCTGATCATGTCGAATTGAAGCAGACTCCCCGAGGTCCTGGGTATCTGTGCTGGAAGAAGGGCTGCAATCAATATTTCCAGAATGTCCAAGCCCTTCAAACTCATTTCATGGAAATTCATGCGAAAAACCAACAACTGGCCGTCTCTGAGAGACACGTCTACAAGTATCGCTGCAACCAATGCAGCCTGGCTTTCAAGACCCTGGAGAAGTTACAGTTGCACTCCCAATATCATTTGATTCGAGAGTCCACCAGCTGCATTCTTTGTCACAGAAGCTTTCGATCTGTTCAAGCTCTGCAGAAGCACTTGGAGACTGCTCACAATGACTTGCCAGAAGCCAAACTTCAGCAATACAAAGCTAGTCTCATGAATAATCCTGTGGTACAGGCTGGCTTGAGTGGACAGGTTCTCGACCCTGCTGCCATGGAACTCCTGAAGAAAGAATCGACTAAGGACGAGGAATGTGGACCAGATGAGGACGAAGACAAACCAGATGAAGAAAATGCCAACGAAGACGATGAGGACTCCAAATCCGGCGATGATTCAGGTGGTTCAAAGCAGCAAGTCCTGGAGGACTATTTGAATAGTCCAGCCGTGGCTGAGGACAGTTACAATGATCCCTCAAGGAAATACAAGTGTCATAAATGCAAGGCTGCCTTTACAAGGCAAAGTTACCTGACCAGTCATAACAAGACCTTGCTTCATAGAAAGGGAGAGAAGCTGAGCTACCCGATGGAGAAGTATCTGGATCCGAACAGACCTTTCAAGTGTGAGATCTGTAAGGAATCTTTTACGCAGAAGAACATTCTATTGGTTCACTATAACTCAGTGAGTCACCTCCATAAGCTGAAGCGAGCCATGCAGGAGCAACAGTCTCAGCCTGGTACTCAAACTGACGGTAGCAGTCCTCCTGGTGCGAGTATGCTTGCTAGCATTGCCAACAAGGAGCTGGACGATGACAAGAAGCCCTACCGGTGCAATATATGCCGAGTTGCCTACAGTCAGGGATCCACGCTTGATATTCATATCAGATCTGTTCTGCATCAGACGAGAGCCTCCAAGATTCAGGACTTAGCCCTGTCAGGTCAATTGGATTTGAATAAGCCTCTCATTGAGCAACCAGAGCACCACAGAGCTCAAGAGACACAAAAGAAAATTTTACAAGACATGTTAGGGGTAGGAAAATACACACAACCCCTGTCGTTGGAGACGTCTTCTCAATTCAGTCCTCCCTGCACCAGCACAGCAATGACCACTTCACCGACGCCACGGTCGGGGAGTGCCCAACAGTCTCCCAAGTCGGCACATTCTTGCAGCAGATGCGGAGCTATTTTTGGGAATCAAGAGCAGTTGACGCAGCATCAACAATTCAGCTGCTTATTCCAGTCACCGATGGCATCCCTCTCAGCTGTTGAGGGAACATCGCAAATGATCCTACAGCAAGCCCAGCGTCACCAGGGCGAAGACCATCGTTCATCTCCCGACAAAGATATGCTGGAGGAAACTCCGCGTTTCACCATACCAGTCAAGAAATCGTCTCTCGTACAGAAACAACTTCTGAGAAGCTACGGTTTCGAGCTGGTGATGCAATTCTTGGAATATCATCAAAAGAGAACAGCAGAGGAGAGTTTAGGTGATAGGTCAGACGAAGATAAATCTCCGGAAGGCGAGGAAGCGGAAGGGAGAAATCAGAACATCCCCGAACTCGAGAAGTCTGTCTGTCGCTCTTGTGGGAAGCAATTCTCAAGCATCTGGGTGGCCAGAGCACATGCTGAAGAAATTCATCAAGACTTTGTCCCGTTCAGCACCGTGGAAACATTTGCAGAGGAATTCAGGAAGGATTACGACGAGAGGATGGTGGAAGCCGGTGGGTCTGAGGACTCAGATCAAAGACCCCGAGAAGAAGAGGGGAATCCATCTGGAGGGCATCTCTTGTCTGAAGCTGGTGCCTTGATGCAGGCATCTGGAGAATCCGCAATATCCTCTGCAAGTGGAGCAGGCAATCCCCTTTACACCACGGCAACCAGTGGCATGGATAAGAAAACTACAATTTCATCCTCAGCTTCAGTTTCTCCAAATCTCTTCCAACAGCAAATGGGAGACATGACAGCAGCGCTTTCTGCGATGCAACAGATGCAACTTAATCCAATGATGATGGCTAGTCTCAGCCTTGGAATGGGCCTTCCATTTGGGATGAATGCTCTGACGGCCATGAACCTGCAGCCGCCACTCTTCCCATTCATGATGGCACCCCCCCTCGATCCCGTGATGACTGCTGCTATGATGCAACAATCTCAAAATTCTCTCGTTCCTGGAGCCATAGACCCTAACTTATTGGCTAGCCACCAGCAAAAATTGTTGCAACAGCAACAACATCAGCAGCAAGTTGCCGGTCCCTCAAAGAGAGCTCGAACCCGAATCACCGATGAACAGTTGAAGATCTTGAGAGCTCATTTCGATATCAACAATTCGCCATCTGAAGAACAGATCAATGAGATGGCCCAACAAAGCGGCCTCCCTCCCAAGGTCATCAAGCACTGGTTCCGGAACACACTCTTCAAAGAGAGACAGAGAAACAAAGATTCTCCTTATAACTTCAGTAACCCCCCTTCGACGACGCTGAACTTGGAGGAATATGAGAAGACAGGGGAGGCGAAAGTGACTTCCCTCGCAAGGCAGGACGAAGACAGCAGTTCTCAGAAAGACGAGAGTGGGAAGCCTCCAGAGCAGAAAAGAGCCAGGATTTCTGAGGATCCCATTCCGAGTGTGAAAATCAAGGATGCAATGGACGATGCTGGAGGGGAACACAGTAGAGAGAATAAGACATCGTCAAAACCAACTAGTCAGAGTCAGGAAGAGATGAGTGCTGTGAAGCTGGAATCTCCGAAACCCCCTTCCTCATCCTCTACCCCTTCCAGTCTCACGTTGACCTCAATCATCTCATCTCAGCTGAATTCAGAAATGGCTTCCCGTGCTCCTCAGTTCTCGACCCCTTTGAATCCCCTAGCCCCCTTCCAAGTATCACCTCATACAGGAGGATTCCTACCTTTTCCACCGACCCCTCCTCCACCGACTGCTGTGAAATCTGAAATTTCACCTGCTCATTCCACACCTACCTCGTCTTATTCCTCCACCCCCACCACTAGTAACAGTGCAGGAGGCACAGGGAAGAGAGCAAATCGAACTCGTTTCACTGACTATCAAATCAAGGTCTTGCAAGAGTTCTTCGAGAACAATGCCTACCCTAAGGATGACGATCTCGAATATCTTTCCAAGCTGCTGAACCTCAGTCCTCGAGTGATTGTTGTCTGGTTCCAGAATGCTCGACAGAAAGCCCGCAAAGTATACGAGAATCAACCACCCATTGATCCGAGCGATGAAGGCGCAGGTCGATTCCAACGAACACCTGGGCTGAATTATCAATGCAAGAAGTGTCTTCTCGTCTTTCAGAGATATTATGAGCTTATTCGGCACCAAAAGTCTCATTGCTTCAAGGCTGAGGATGCAAAACGATCAGCCCAAGCTCAGGCTGCAGCAGCAGCGGTTGCCGCTGGCAGTATCCCCACCCACAGCGAAGACTCGAGCTCCAGTTCCATTGCAGACTCCTGCAACACAGTGACATCCTCTCAGCATTCTCAGCACATTCCTTCCGTTAAATCGGAATCGCAGTTTCAATGTGAGCAGTGCAAGTTGGTATTCCCACGCTTTGAACTTTGGAGGGAGCATCAGCTCGTTCATATGATGAATCCAAATCTTTTTGCAAGTCATCATGTGGGTTCAGCCGGAGCTATGACTCAGCCGGAAGGTTCCACCAACAGCTCACCAGGCCCGGAATCATCTTCTCAAAAAAGAAGACCCGAAGAATCTGAAGACGAAAAAGACGATCAGCACAGCAAAAGGCTTAGGACAACCATTCTGCCCGAGCAGCTGGATTACCTGTATCAGAAATACCAGGTGGAAAGCAATCCAAGTCGAAAGATGCTGGAAAATATAGCCAGAGAAGTCGGCTTGAAAAAGAGGGTGGTGCAGGTATGGTTCCAAAATACAAGGGCTAGAGAAAGGAAAGGTCAGTACCGTGCTCATGCTCATGTGATCAACAAAAGGTGTCCCCTTTGCCCTGCACTCTTCAAAGTCCGCTCAGCTCTCGAATCTCATTTGGCAACGAAACATTCCGAACAGTTTGCTCGGGGCGAGATCAATGTGGATTCCCTGCCAGATGAAGATTCTGGGCCTGAGACTAGCGTTCCATCTCACATACCTTACTCTGGACTCTTGTACTCCAACCTAGAACAAGATGTGAAGAAGCAGTACGAAGAAGCCCTCCGGGGTTACCTTGGTGATGACACCTCAGTTCACAGTGGATCTCATGGCACAGATACCCCCCTTGACCTCAGTAAACCAGGAGGGGAGTCAATGATAGAGGAAGTACGAATTGGTGGACTGCAGGACGAAACCCTGTCCGTGACATATTCTGAATCGACGGATTGCTGCGACGGGGAAGAGGAAACGAATCCATCGACATCCCCTCAACCACTTCCGCAGTCTGCGAAGCAGTCATCCGGTGGTGGGAAGAGATTCCGGACGCAGATGTCCAGCCTCCAAGTCCGTGTTATGAAGAGCATCTTTGCCGACTACAAGACCCCTACTATGGCCGAATGTGAGCTTCTGGGGCAAGAAATCGGGCTCCCGAAAAGAGTGGTACAGGTTTGGTTCCAGAATGCCCGCGCTAAAGAGAAGAAGAACAAGTTAGCCCTTGCTAAGACGCTTGGCTCGGAAATAGAGGCTCCTCCACCCCCCGAAGAATGCACCTTCTGCAAGGTGCGCTACTCTCACAAGTACGCTCTTCAAGATCATTTGTTCTCCAAGAGGCATATCAACGCTTTGAAAGCGGCTTCGGGTGACGAGGGTCCCAAGTCCACTTCGCCCAGCACCAACGGTCCCAAACCAGGAGAGAATTTTCCCATGCAAGGAGACAGTGAGGCAGAAAGGTTCCTAATGCAGATGTATGGTTTCAGTATGGCTTCAGGGTCTTCGCCGTCGGCAGCTGTCTTGAGTCATGCTCCATTCATGCCGCCATTATCCGGTTTCCAGCCGAATTCTCTTCCTGGTGAGTCCTAATCATTCCTCATTTCACACTGATTCTCTCACAGTCAACTCCTCCTTTCGCGGTCCTCATTTATTTCAGCTTTTCGGAATTGTATTTCCAGGATCCCTCGAAATTCACATTTTTAAATCACTTTTTCGAAGATACCGTTCGCCTGATCATATGTCATCAGATCATCTGATAATCTTTCCTTAATGCTCATTATATCGTCTGGGGTGGTTTTTTGCAATTACTCCTCTGCATTCGACATTTGAATTATAAATAGATCTTGAGAGGAAAGCATCGCAACTCATAGTGCCTCCATGCGTTACGAGATCAAAAAATGAGGCATCAGGCTGAAAGCAGAGGAGGAGGAGGAGGGGAAGGACGAGCACTATCTGAAGGAATGATCATGGTTAATGGGATGCGTGGGAAGAAGCCTCAGTCTGAATCATATCAAGGATGTGGGGTCAAAAAGAAAGCCATATATCCCCTAGGATGTGCGATTGCCCTCATGGTTGGTCACCAACAGAGACACAGACAGAGGCTTGGGGACACAGGGTAGAGGGTGGCAATATGGCCTATGGCTTTGCAATCTCCCTCCCATAAAGGAACGGGGATGATGGGAGAAAAGCGTTGGAGGTCGTCTTTTCATGCAGGAATTTCAGGGGCCCACAGCTGAATGAATGCTATCCCTAATCAAATGGTCGCAGCTTGTTTTTCTCTTCGGACCTGGATGGCAGGCTGGGGTCGTCCTCTACACTATTGGTATATTGGAAGAAAGGACGGAAGGCGCATTCCAAGAGCCCCGTAGGAGGTCAGTTAGCCGGAGGAGAGAAGCTAGGGGAAGGGAAAAGACATGCATTGAGGCGTGGTATAATGAGCCCTGAGGCAGGGCTTGCTTCTGTCTGTCTGTCACATTAAAAATGCCCTCTTTAGATGGATCCATTAGGGGGTTTTAATTGAGGGAAGGTGTGTTTGGAGGGGGAGACTTTGATTGATTAGCATCTCCAGCTATTAGGGCACCTTTTGTTCCTTGGATTCCTTTCCCCGTCTGTCACTTGGTATTTCTGTGTGACTGCTCGGTGTTCCAAAGGGCCTCTCCACCTCCAATCCCTCTCTCTTTCATGTCATTGGCCTCCTATACGAGGAACCTCACGAAGTTTCCCCTCGAAATGCCCACGTGAGAAGCTTAAAATTTTATTCCTTCGATTTACGTGGAGAAATTTACCGACGAATTTCATTTTCGGGGAATTATTAATTGAAAACCCTGGTTAATAGCTCACGCATGATGGCGAAGAGCCTGGTTTTATATCCGAGATTGAATGGATGGCTGGGAGTATTGTGAGGCGGTCACCTACCTGAGCTCCATAAGTCACGCACGCATCCGCGAACAATACTCCCATTCCTGAGATTCTCATGATGATTGCCTTGCCCACTGTCAATTGTAGAGAGAAGTGGAAAGGTATCTGGCGAGAGGGAGAGGCAGAGCAAAAAAAAAAAAAAAGAGCCCACCTGCTTGGCGTAGGGATGTTAACGACTGTGCACAGGTAATTAAAACTCGGACCTGCCTGCCCCTATCTCCCGCTGCCTTTCTCTCCTGTCAACCAGGCCAGATTTATCCCAGACGAAGAACGTCGGCCGGATTATTCGCAGACAAATGAGAAATGCAGCAATTAATGCAGGCAACCCGGCGGGGGTGATAGATGGAGGTGGCCAACACGTGTAAATCCGGCCTAACAGATGCATCAGCGGGAAGCCTCCCGTTTCTTCTTCTTCCCTCATACCTGTGTCGAGTAACTCTTGAGGAAGAGTCTCCACTTGGACAATGAGAAAGAACAAGTCTGAGGATAAGAGGACAAGGGGGTTTTTTCTTCGCGAGCCCCGGACAGGTGTGGGTTGAACTGTCTCTCGCTTTCCACTTTTTTTTCTTTTTTTCTCCCCCTCCATCCCTCCTTTCTTTTCTCTTTGGGCGGCTCTCCATGCCTTGAAGGCAATTAAAGAGGCGTGAAATGTCTTGATGAGGCTTGTTTATCATACATGAGCAAGCATCATTCCTCTATCTCTTCATCTATCGGCAAACGTCTTTAGCTCGAGCTGGCTAATGATGATCTTGTTGGCAAGAGGGAACCGGTGTCGCGAGGGTCCCTTCCCCCCTGGATACTCGTGTCGGTGTATGTCTGTACGTTTGTCTGTGTACATTTCTCCTCTTGGCTACACTGCCTTATTCTGTCATTCTGTCACGAGTACTTCCTACTCGCGCCTTGATTCTCAATTAGCTTCGCATTCATCACGCATCTTTCTTTTTTCCTTTGAATGCCTTAAATAGTTGCAGGATGTTCGATTTTACTGGCCCTCGTATAGATTTCAAATGGTATTTGGTGGTATTTCCGGTTGCTGTGACCTGTGCTTGTCAACATTGAGAGTGGGCGTAAGAAAAAGCGGAAGAGGGGAAATGGAAACAGCAGGTAAATGGGAGGAGGAGGGGGAGGGGGTGGTGGAGGGGGGCAAGAACAGTAAATCACGTCATCGTTGGTTGCATTGAATTTTCATCAGAAATAAATCATCGCTTTCGATAAGAGAAAGAGAGAGAGGGAGAGACAGGCTCGGGCTGGTTGGACCATGAGGTATTCGTAAACATTCTCTTCCTTTTTCTTTCTTGATGCCCGGAGGCATTGCATCTCCCGATCTCTACCGTCTATGGAAGTTGTGCTGGCTGGTGACTATTGGTCGTAGCCCTCCCCCTCTCTCTCTCCCTGTCTCTGTCTCTGTCTGTCTCTCTCTCTCTCAGTATCTCTCCCTCTCTAATGAACTGAATCAATCCTGATGTGCGTGAGTGTCTGATGTCATCCATCTTACTTCCTTCATTTCCATACAATAAACAATAGGATGTCTGACTGTCGGCTTTCACAGGGGACAGACTACATTGAAGCTCCATTATCGGACGAGAACCGATTTCTTTCTTTCAAACTAATGCCTTGTCAGAAGTCAGTCCACTTGACTAAGATGAATCCCGTCATTAATCGGCCGAGATCTCCCCTCCTCCAACTGGGAGTCACGCATTAAACGGACAAACTCGAACGTGGAATTTGGGGTGCAAAATGGCTTTCGACGTATGGAGTTTGTTCATGGGCTATTGCTAGTGCATTCCCAGCACTTAGGAATAGCGAGGCGATGAGAAACTAATGAGGGTTGCATGCAGGTACGAGGTACAGCAGTTGGAACGGCTCACTGAGACTGTCGTCGTACATCATATAACTCGCGGAGTAAATATTGGACGAGGATCGATTCGTTTGTCTCTCTCTCTCTCTCTAAGTCTATGTCTATGTCTATGTGTCTAGGTCCGTCAGGAGATCAATGCATAGTTGAAAAGTTATCGAATGAATGAGCGAACGCAGTCGTACCATATGTTCCTTCCCTGTGCATTGGAAGGGAAGGTAAGATATGGGCGAAATGGAGTTACTGAAGTAGTCTCGGAGGCTTGATTCTCTCTCTTATCCTCCTTTCTGTTAAAGAATCATTTAAAAAAAAAAAGAAGCAGACATGGGCTCCGAGTTCATTCCCATTCCTGAGCTGAGGGGGTTCCCGGGAGGTTACCGAGGGGAAAAGACTGAAAAGAGAGAAAGGGAGGGAAGAGCTGTTCCGGCGGCAGTAATTTCTGCTTCCCCAATTCCCAGAGGGCGATGATTCAAACCTCTCCGACACTATTGTCTTTGATAATGCTCATTACGTATGCAGAAGCAAAAAAAAAAAAAGAAAGTAAGTAAGGGAGATTGCAAAGCCCCGGTTCGATATTGAAGTTGGGAGGGAAGCAGCCACTCAAGGCAGAGAACTCTTGCCGACATGGGGATTGGAATGCCCGCGCTGCTCATCCCCCATCCTCCTTTTCATTGTGTTTCCTCTCCTTTCTCTCTTTTTCTATCCTTTCCTTATGTCAGCTCCCCCCCTTTTGCTCTCTGGTCTTCCCCTTTCAGTTTCATCTCTTCCCCCCCTATTATTTCTTTCACTCCCTTCGTCCCGTGTACAAAGTAGCCAATTTATTTTAAATGACCCCCATAGCTTGCACACGAGGAAGGGAGAAATGAAATTTCGTGCGCGACTGACTGGGTTCTTAATCCAGCGATGTCCAGCCGAAATTTTCCATTAAGTTGGGCAACTAAGCGTGCAAGGAAGGCCTCACTGATCCGCATACTCATGATGGGTCTTTATGCAAGTCCACCCTCTTCCTCATTCTCTTCTTCATCTTCACTCTATCATCCCTTCATCTATTCTCATTCTTTCCTCAAAGGCATGTCCGTTTGTCATAGGAGAAGTCCTCTCGCTCGAGAAAATAGCAGGGATATTTTTCCATGATGGGAGGAAACAAGGAAGAAAGCCGAAAGTGGGGTTTCTTTCCTTTAGCTCTCCCTCCTTTTTCCCCCTTCCTCTCTGGCCCCTTTTTCCCCCTACCCGCCCACAGGACGCTTGATATCCAGCTCGTTAGCTGAATAATTACACTTGTAAGAAGTGCTATCGATTGATTCTACTAGCTGATGGTGTCTTAGGGCCCGTAATTACCTGATGCCATTACTGGAGATCTTCCTGTTTCCTGGCACAGTGGCTTTCCGCCTGAAAACGTTTTCTTCTCTCTCTCTCTCTCTCTCTTTCTCTCTCTCTCTCTCTCTTTCTCTCTCTTTCTCTCTCTCTCTCTCTCTTTCTCTCTCTCTCTCTCTCTCGTTTTCTCTTTCTCTTTATCCCCTCTTTCCTGCTTGGGCTGGCTTCCTTCATTGGTTATGTCCTCATTATCGTGTCGTCCCCCCTTTCCCGTTTCTTTCATGGGACATGCAATTAAGAACATTTATAAATAACTACCTCATTACTTTCCAATCACAAATCTATACGCCGTCTCGCGTGAGTCTTGATTGCTCCGTCGATAAGCAATATGGGCGACTCTGTCCCAAGTTGCATTGGCATTCCGGAAAGACGAGACGGAATTAAATAATTTAGAAGAAAGTATCTTAATTCTCCACATGGTTTGCAGGAGAGAAGAGAGATCCAGACTACCCGTCCCTTACCTTCGGTCCTCCATTCATCGGAGATGCCATCTCAGTCTGCTTGCATTTCTGGCAGCTTCAGTCCGTGATTAATAATGGGCAGGGGAAGAGAAGAATAGACGATTTAATGTTGGGGGGGAAAGAAGGAATAAACGAAGATGACTCGTGGGATGGGAAGGGGAGACCAGGTGCCTCACTCGACGATAGTTGCTTGAATCAGGTGCCATCTCACTCCCAAAGATTGATGACTTTCTAAAATATGGGGAGAGAGAGGTGCCTGTTGAGTTCCTAGAAGCATCTCGGTGGAGACGCCTTTGATCTAATTTATTAGGTTCCCATGATGAATATGATAAGATGGAAGGTGGTCTATGCCATTAGGAGTTATGAATATTGTATCAAATAATAGCTTAGGAGTTGACAGCGTCTAAACAGAAATCTGTCGGGAATTCCCGGCCCAGATCTGTCTCTTAACCAAATCAGACCTAAAAAGCTGCGGCAGCTCGACACCCTAGGTAAAATAATGTCCCCGTGATGCTGCCGCTATATTCTGAAGAATGAGGCCGGGATCTCGGAGCACCTCCATTGTTCTGAAGACTTGTCGCAGGAAGCCGGGATATTTTTCATTCAGTTCCACTCAACATTCAATCATAATATAATGTCCTTGGCTTATTCCCACGCACGTCTGAGATTCAGCTGGATGCTTTCCTAGGGGGGTGTGTGTGCGTGTGTGTGTGCATGGGGGTGCTGGCACTGTCGCATTAGGCAATGCTCTCAGCCTGACGGGATAGAGGAAATGAACTATTAAAGCAAATGTTCCAAATCCTAATTAGCTCCCTCTCGGGAGATAATAGGCAATTGCAGCGGAACAATGGAAGCCGTGTCAGCACTTAGAGGACCAAGTAGTTGCATGAGGTACTAATTGGGCGAAAGGAAGCAGTTGCTGTTGTTGGAATGTGTCGCTAGGGAATGTACTTAATCGCTTCGGACATGTGATGAAGATGATGATGATGTCGTCTTTTTCTTCTCGATGTGTTTTCCAGGTCTTCCGGACGCTTGGTCAAGGGGGATTCCTCTCGGATTGCTTCAATTGCCCATGACTGTAGTGGCTCAAGTGAGTGGCGTCCTTGCGGAACCGGGCACCTCCAAGGTGGCCTTCACGCAGGATGGCAAGAATGTGACTTCGGAACCAGGTGCTTCGGAGGTGGACCTGCCCTTGGCAGTCGTGTGTAAGGGTTGCCGTTGTGCATTCCCAACCGAAGTCCAAGTGGCAGGTCATCAATGCCCTGGGCGGAGCACGGGAATGGGGATGCTGCGAATCCTGCAGCACTTCTACGCCTGCTGTGTTTGTCAAGAAAAATTTCCGACAGCCGAAGCATATCGAGTGCATATGGCAAACGAGCATCATCGCCACTTCCAGGCTGGAGGGACGGACTCGAATGGGAATATAGCCAAGGGGGAAAGCGCCGATAATCCACGCTTAGGTGGGGGAGAGGTGACCCATAGGTCACCACCCACCGCTCTCCGTATGGGACAATAGAAAAGAGGGAGGAGAAGGGGGGTCTTGTGATGGCTAGTAATGTGATGAATCAAGATTGTGTGAATGTGATCCCTTCTTCGAGTTTATTCATCAGAAATCGTGTATGAATTCCATCTGTATCTGTCTGTCGCCTCTAGAACCGAAATCTCATTTCCGTAGGGTTCCCATTATCCTTGTTCTGTGAACGAGCTTGAAAATTATGTGTGTATTTATTGTGAGAGACGCTTCTGTTCCGTTGATAGCTGGGGGGAAGAAACCAACTTTTTTTTTTAAGGAAAGCTTAGAAAGAATTCGTTCAGGAGGGCATTGACAAGGTCAAAAAGACAACACCTTGCTAAAAGATGGGTATGCCGATCATGCTTTCTTTCAACTCTCTCCCTTCAATACGAGGTTGTTCACGCTTGTCGTCTCCGAGTACATGTGATGTGAATCCTTTATTATATTAATTATTATTATTATTTTTTTGTGCTGTCCTCTACCATTGTGAAAACAGGTGTGTTGCATGAGGCGTTCACTGCCTACGTTCAGGGTGGCTACACATTCCACGAAGTTCCTACACGTTTAACCTGACAAGTTCCTATTGAGAAACTCCTTGTTGAAATGAGAAACTCCAACCCTCGCGATTCTCGATACGATATTCCGAATATTATATTTTTTACTCAGTGGTGTTTCCATATTCCGATGGCTTTTTCTGATTTCCCCCCCTGGCCTCTCCGTCGGAGGATGATACCCAATCAGACGAGAAGTGAAGCACGGAGAGTGTTCCTTCTGTGCCTTGAAAAAAAGAAAAGAGCAAAAACTCATCCTCGAGTTCTTCCCGTTGGATGGAGTAAGACACATAGAGCTGCTCGCACAAAAACGAGCGTCGTCGTATCCAGCCTCGAAACGAAAAGTTCCTATAAAAAGCCTAGGCCTAATCCAGAAATCTGTTCTTCCAACAAGTCATCCCCCGACTGAGAAAATAATCTTTGAATCTTTGAATTCTCCTGCTGCTTGGAAAGAGTTTCCCCCATGTGCCATGAACGACACTTTTTTGCTCACATCTTCCCTACAATCCCTTTTGGAAGACTCTGACTGAGCCTTTCGCTGTTCAACGTCTTCTCTCTTTCTCTCTCTGTCTCACTCTCCCTCTCACTCTCACTTGAAACCTCGCAAAAGAAGTGCCACTTGACATGTCCCTCAAAGTTCCTATTTCAGAAGGGAGAGTATTATTTATTCTGTTTTCATGTTTTATGACGATGGCCGTGAGTGGGTGATGATGATGATGATGACCGAGGTGGTGTGTTGATAGCCGTCGTGGCGTCCGATAGTAGTTCCCAGCCAGAAAAAGAAAAAAAAACACACAAAAAAGAGAGAGCAATGACGGTGCTTGGTGTGTGACCCTTTTGAATGTTGAACCCCCATCCTGTGAGGTAGAGTTCCATCCCTTTCCCCCTGATAATTCCTCGCTTTCCTTCTCATTTTCTGCTTCTTTTTTTTTAAATTCGACCTCTTTTTTTCTACTTGTGTCACCCGAATCCTTGATATCCCTGGCGCTTCAGTCATTCACCGTTTGGATAAATTATGTGGATATTTATTCCTTGTTTTCTGTGAATGAGCAAGTTATCAAAAATATAAGAAGCGAAGAGTGTGATGGTTTACTTTTTTTTTTCTTCTTTTTTTCCGTTTTTTTTTTCCCCTGCTTACCCATCTGGCCCTGGCCTCCTGCAACCCCGCACGAAAATGAGAACCCTCTACCTCACTCGTAACCGAAAGTTCCTAAGACAATGTGCTTGAAAACAAAACTTTGAGATACAGGTGACCGCATGGTCATCATATATTTGCTCGTAGGATTTTTTCATAAAATTTACATGGAATGTTTCTGTGTACCTATGATAGAATTATGGAAGTGAGTTCATTACTTCTATGTGTGTAGACTTGTGAGATGGACCCGGAAAATAAACTATACTTCTAATTGATAAGGAGTGGTAAGATTTCTTTCTTCGTCCTCTTACTGACATTTCCAAGGAGTCTTGCTCCATGACACGAATCAGAAGAGGAAGGCCCAGCTGATTCAGTATCCTACCGAAAACAACTTTGAACTTTCCAAAAAGTAGAATAGTCAGAGGTCAGTCCCTTAATTCATTCTACATTGGTATCTTCCAAGAGAGAAATTGGAAAAGAAGATCTAGTTTAGACGAAGTATGTTTGAGGTTAAGAAAAGCTGGTCTCAAGAGAGACAATACCTTTCACTGCCAGCCATTTTGCCGAGGGTCTCGGGAAGTCCTATACGGGATTAAAAAAACACCGGAAATGCTGTCTGAACATGAGAATGAAAGGCATGAAACGTTTCGATTCCAGGGAATGGGGAATTATGCAAGGATGTGATTCCCTTTTCCTGTCGCCGCATTTCCGGTGGAATTACAGGAAACTAGAGACCTCCATGGCCTGAGTTGTTTATTGAGAAAACATGGAAGGTGCCTCGCTGTGAGGGGAGGAAAATGGCCCGCAAATGCCGATCTCCCCATCTTCTGCTGTGCACACGTTCCGCTTCGCTTTCTTTATACGAACACAGTTGCGGGTCTCGGAAAGAGGAGAGAGAAGCTGCCAAGATTTGTATTTCCGTGTCTCTGGAATTGGCAATCAGCTGGGGTATCTATGACCCCTTTGCTTCTAGATCTGGGTTGTCCAATCTTAACTTTCTCGACAGAGATACGAGCAGCCAAAAGATGTTGAGGCGAAAGCAGCAATGACAGACAGGGCATTATGCATGACGAATCCCCTTTTTTTTTTCCTCGGGCGGCTCGTCGAATCTGCATCGTGATGGTTGCAGTTCTGTTGAAGTACTCTGAACGATAAGAAATGGCTCTCCTAATTTCAAGGTGGAAGAACTGTGTTCGTCATGGTTACATTGTATGATATCCTGCGTTCTAGAGCAAGACTTATTGAGTGAAACCAAGCAAAAGACAGAGAGCGATGGAGACAAATGCTCGCCTTCGGGCGAGGGAAATCGTCGTCGGATAGGATTGGGATCCCTTTCATTTCGAGTGGTCGAAGGAAGGAGAGGTATGCGTGCTGCGCCCAATGGCTTCTTCGTAAAGAGGTAATGTTTCCTCGGTATTCATGGAATTCCATCAAAAGATAAGACGGAAAGAAAAGGCCGGAACCCTGCATAGCATAGCGCAGTCGAGGTGTTTTTCTCGGTTGTCCCCTTCTTTTTGCTTCCTTTTCTTTCTGCCCCCACCTGGTCTGACAATGGTTCCCAGGCAGCCCAGTGGCTTTAATTATCATCCCGGCCCCTTGATCACATCCCTCATGAGTAAACACGGACCTTTCTCTGGACTACATCTTTTTTTTTTTTTCCTTCCGTTCCCCCCTAAACTCAGAACGTAGCCAACTCGGAAGCAGATACATGAGTGCAACATCTGTGACGCGTATCATACATTCTCAGCTGACAGGTATTCTGAAAGAGTCTTCTTTCTCCCTCGCACTTATTAGCAGTCACACGCATACTGTGCATACGTGCCAGACTCGGAAAAGTATCTCACTTCTACCCAACCCGCCCGTTTCGTAGTGGATTATGACTATGACTCCTAGTGTCCCACGTTGACAGACGAATATTTATCTACAGCTGGAAAGGGATTCCAGCCCCGTTGACGATGATGCATCAGACACGAGACCGATAAATGGGCACAGGGTGGGGGAGCGGAATAAAATGTGCCTGTCGCGCCATCTACCGTAGATCCACATCATTAGATCAAATCCTCTTCTGTCTTCCTTCTTTCCTTCCTTTCTTCCTTCCTCATGGCCTTCATGCCCTAATTCTCATCTTCTTTTCTTCGATGAGTTTTCCCTGCTTCCAGGAATGTGTAGGTATAACTGCGGCCTTGATGGGCAACCACTTCGGGGTGATTAACGCATAGCTTTGCCATGATGGTGACGACCCCAGTCCATCTCACTGAATGCTTGAGCTAAGCATGCCTGAAGATCCCCCACGCGATAAAAACAGCTCTCGATGGAGAATGGAATGCACTGAGAGAGAGAGAGAGAGAGAAGTAGGACGAATGCTAATTCTGCCGAGAGGATTAACGCCTCTCCTCCTTAATTTTATGGCGGATTACCAGCCAGCGCTTTCCCCCCTCGCATTCACCGTGCAAGAGCTGCATCAGAGTTTTCTTCTTGCGCAAAGTCTAGAATCCGTCCGTTGAAAGCCTTTTTATGTCTCTTCTCGCCTGATAAGTCTGCGATCTTCTTTCCACCTTTATTGGCAGCGACCTGTGCATGACTTAAGTAAACAAAGCGAGGAAGTGCCTCTCATCTCTCTCTCTCTCTCTCTCCATGATCCCATTTCTTTCACTCTCTAAACAAAAATCCTTTCTGGAGATTTTCTAGCTGAACGGATTGTCTGTCTGGTATCTTGTGCCCGAGACACGTCTCGCCGAGATCCCAGAGACGGTTTCCTTTGTCATCATCCTCATGGAAGCGGGCATGACAGGATCCAGATTTCTCCATGCACTCGAAGGTCCCTCCCCCCCCCGACCCCGGCGAAAACGCCCCCCCTCCCGGCACTGCAGTCGCCTCCGA